GATGCAAAGATATGGGTAAGATGAGCAAACATGTGATGAGTTTATAAAAATGAGGTTAATTGGATCTTCAAACAAATGGCGAAATGCTGGAATTGTATTTGAGAATTCACAGTCTCTTCTGTAATGAGAAAATAATGATGGACAGTAAAGTTCCACACATATGACAGTATGAAGGTTTAAAGGGGCCATGAAAAAGGATAATAACAGTAAAGTCTGGCAGAGAGAAGAGCATAGGATTTAAGAGGGGTTGTGGAAAAAATGACATATTAATGAAAAACAATAGAGAGCTGAGCTTCTGTCTATAAAAACTGAAAGGGAATTGCTTAAGATAATAGCTGAACCTAAGTGTTCCACTTATGCCTCCTGTTTTCGAGTCTGAATTGAGGAGGAAAAGATAGGAATACTTGAATTCATGGTTTCATCTTTTTTAATACCAAAAAGCCATGTATGTACCAAAAGTATTTTTTTTCACAGTAGACTTTATATTTATAAATGTTCTGGTTTACTTCTGCTTTAGTTCTCATGAAATAACAGCTTGACTTCTATTGGCAACTGTGGGGTTTCTGAATTGCTCTTTCACATGTATGAGATATTCATTTATCTTGCAAATAAAGTGATGAGCTTTTCCTGCTGCAAGCATATTAGAAATTAGTCAAGCAATAAATAAATATATTTTTCACAGAAAGGCCTCAAATGAAATACATTTTGGAGTTTTGGGAGTTGCTCTTTGAGGCAGTTTCAAACCAAGTACAAATCATGTGGGGCAGACCAATAAGAATGATTAAGAATCAGTAAAACATGAGTTTCACAGCATAAATGAATTTATTGGGAAGAGAAGATTGAGGGGAGGGGACATGATAAAGACCTCAATTGTCTGAAAGATTCTTGTAAAGAGGGAGGAGAATGCTCACTTCTCCAGGTGCCACACCTTTCCTCCATTGTAAAATGTGGTAGATGCATGTTAAAGAAAAATGCTTAGTACTGTTTATGAAAGTCAGAGGTGGGTGTTAAGAGTGTTTTCATAATTCTGAAGACAGTGAAACACTGATGCAGGATGTCTGAGGGATGCATGGCATCCCTGTCACTGGGAGTCTTCAGATAACAACCAGACAAACAGTGGTCAGGATTGACCCTCTGACATTGCTCGGTGGCAGCAAGATAAACTAGGTGACACTGTGATGTCCTCCTAGGTCTTTTATTGAATGATTTGACAGCTTACTTCAGGTGAATGTTGTTGCTGACATGTAATGTTTTAGAAAGGGGTTGATATTTCATGTCACAAACTCCTAAAAGCGGGTTGTTAGGCATGGAAATTTACTTTCATTTTTATAAAGCTGAAGTGCCTAATATTTCTTATTGCAAGAAAGACTTTCAAATAATGAACTCAGAACCTTCAGAAAAGGTCATAGAAAAAGTGGTCAGAATATATGTATCAACATCTCACTGTTTTTTTAAAGCAACTTTATAATCTTCTAAATGTTTGGGGAAGACAATACCCTTGGTCTTAGCCTTGGCCTCATTTATTCTCCTTGAATATTTTCTCATTTAAAATTATCACTTTCTTTTCCAACAAATATTTGTTAAGCACAAAGGTTTCACCTGTGAAACATGTTGTGTCTACTAGTGCTTCCACTCCATGATTGCTTTAATCTTGCATTGCTGTCAACAGAGATGTATATGATCCCTCTATCCCTTCCATGCTCACACAGAAGGTTTGTGCTTTTAGGTAGTGAACTTCAGTCAAAACCTGATTCTGATCTTAAACAGACTGGCAAAAAACCCTCCCAAACCACAAAAACGAAAGCAAACCCAAAACATTTTAACCAGAATCACTTCTTCAGTCTAGTTCACTGCAGGACCACAAAATGTATGTGTCAAGGGGTGTTCAGGAGTCTGAATGAGCCAGTTTCTGCCTGTCAAAGGTGGGAGCAATCTTTTGAAAGGACAGTGCAGGACCTAAAACTGGGAAACTTCTACTAAGGACAAGTTGTCCTCTGCTGTCCTGCTCCATGTTTGTTTAGCACTGCAGCTGCTTAATAGAGTACCAAAACTCTTCCCTTAGTTTGGTGATGAAACAGGTAAGAAAACCACACCTCTTTGAGCCAGTTTCTGCCTGTCAAAGGTGGGAGCAATCTTTTGAAAGGACAGTGCAGGACCTAAAACTGGGAAACTTCTACTAAGGACAAGTTGTCCTCTGCTGTCCTGCTCCATGTTTGTTTAGCACTGCAGCTGCTTAATAGAGTACCAAAACTCTTCCCTTAGTTTGGTGATGAAACAGGTAAGAAAACCACACCTCTTTTCTTTCCACAATGAATAAATACGGATTTCTGCCATACAACTTTCTTGGAGTATGTTATTCCCCACAGTTTATTTAAGATGCTTAAGTTGTTGTTTAAATAAAAACTTTGGATAAAATATTGGAAAAGGCTCTCTATGAAATGCTTTTTTTAAAAAAAACACCACAACCCCCCCACCCCCCAGCTCCCCCAAAAAAACCCTTCTGTTGCATTTTTGAGAGACATACTTAAGCCATTTTGGCCTGAATTTGTTTCTTTCACAAAAGCAAATCTCAGTCCTGGTGCATAATTTACGATCTTGGCATCCAGCCGAAACATATGTACATACTGAAGTCAGTTTTGCATCTGTTTAACTTTATGCACATGAGTAGTCTAATTGGATTTAGTCTGATGAAATGACTCATGCAAAATCAAGTGTTTGCACAACAAGGGTTTCAGACAGTAGGGTTCTTCAGGGCAGTAGCTTCTATGTTTTATATGTTGCCTAGCACAAAAAATGGCTTTTTTATTATCTCAAAGCCTTCTGCATGCTGTATAACTGTAGTGTCAGGTGAAACAAAGAAATACAAAAGAACAAGACTTGCAGCGTAGGTCAGATCTTCTACTGCACAGCACAATTACAATAATTGAAGCAATTAATTAATTGTAACTTTCTTTTTTAAAAAACATCCCCTGGGAATCTCATCAGGATAAAGAGAAATTACTCTTATTCCTATCTAACAGGCCACCAGGCTGCAGCTGTTGACCTTCTGGTAGCCATTGGCCAGGTTAAACACTGTTGCTTATATATGCTAGACACTCTGGTAAGTTATAGCCATCATCTCCTTTCAGGATGGAACCATATTCTTGTGTAGCCTAATAATTCAATGGATTCAGCACCTCCTGCAAAGAGTTATCTGAATGAGTAGTAATGTAGATATTCATCATCTTCAGAGGACAAAATATCACTGTATCAACAACAGGAATATATTTTGCTACTCTCCCAGATCTGATCTCCCCATGCCCTTCTCAACTCTGGCAAATTTCTTGCCTCATTATTGTGCAGTCATAGGCTCTAAGAAGAGAAGAGGTGATGCTGAGCTTACTGCTTGTTGAAGGTGTTTGTATCCAGAGGCTGTCTCTTTGGTTTTCTTATGATACTTTTCATTTTTCCTACATCTGCTATAAGGGTCTAGAGAATAGACAGTGGTCTAGAGATTGAAGAAACTCAGGGAAGGCGATGACAGAGCCTGCAAGTTCTGATATTAGGAACATTAGGGATTAAAATGTGGAACTCTGGGGGATTTGTGCTGTGAGAATATAGTCTGGGGAGGATAGATAAAAAAGAGTATGAGTGCTGATAAGGCGAGGCAAGGAAATGTGTGGGAGTGACTTCAAAACTGATAGTGTACAGAGGACCAGCAGAAGATGAAAATTAAAGTAGGGA